CCGGGGGGGGGGGGTAAGCATCCAGGCCAGGCTGCACCCAGATTGGCCACCTGCCCTGAGAGGTCCATAACCAATACACGCCTAATATGTAGGTTATGCTACTTAACAACACACTACATCCATTATAAAGTGCATTAACGTTTTGAAGGATGACAAATTTTTGCAGGAGTTCTATTTCTTGTACCCCAAGGGATCATCTGGTGCACCCCCAAGGCTGCACCCACCCACTTTGAAGACAGTTGCCTTTGAGGCTTTCCCTGGAACTTGGGACTGCCAAGACTAAGCGTCCTGCTCCCTTGGCCTCCCTGTCCCTCAGTTCTGTTCTCCATTGAGGTTTTACTATACTAGTGAAGGAGGGTCTGTCTTTAGGTGTCCAGCTTCTCTCTTGCTGTGATGCTTTCTTTTAAGGAAACACATTCGCAATCTTTAGTGATATAACAATTAGTATCAGATTACTTGTCACACACCCTCACCCCCAGCTCATGATCCCTTGGGGTGAGAAAGGCCATAGGTGATGTTATATTATCTACCAGCCTGGGAGAAAGTTCTAGAAGGCATATCCTTCAAAAAAGAATGGAAGGAGGGAGAAGGAAGGCCTTCCTATTCAATATGAGTGCTGTGCTGTGCTGTGCTGTGCTGTGCTGTGCTGTGCTGTGCTGTGCTGAGCTGACCTCGAGTTGGTCAGATGTTGAAAAGTCAGGAAGGGGTGGAGACATTTCCTGACCCCCAGGTCTTCAGAGCCCTTGTTCACACATTAACCCTCACTGGAGAAGGAGGGAGCCTGCCCTGCGTCCAACCCATTGTGCCAGAACAAGGGCTAGAGTCTGGGGAGAAGACTTGCGTTGCACTGTCACCCTCATGGACCTCCAGCCCACCCACTACTGTCCAGGACACAGCCCTTCAGTATTAATAGTGTTTATCTGCAGGCACAAATATGAATGGAATTTCAGCCACCACCACCCAGCCTCCTTTCTGGTACCAAAGTGCTCATTGTTGCATTTGTACCCCTCACCCGGGCATTCAGATGTTGTCACCATGCAAATATTTCTTGGCCTTGTTTGGGAAACAGCCAGCTAAGTAAACCTCCCCCAGCCCATGCTACCAGCTCTTGGTGGCAACCCACTGTGATCCCAGAGCCCACAACCCAACCTGGCCTCAGGCAAGGATCTGGGGACGGCTGGAGCACAGATGAGAGGCACCCAACCAGTCTAGAGAGGCCTGGAAAGGATACTTGGAGCATACCTAGGGCCACAGGAGGGCAATATTTAAAGCAGAAGAATGCCTCACTCCCCATCCCAGCTACAGGTTAGATAGATGATGTGGAAGACTGAATAATGCCCCTCCAAAGGTGCCTATGCCCTAATTCCCAGAACCTGTGAATATGTTCTCTTCACGGTAAAGGCATTTTGCAAACATGAGGACCTTGGAGAAACTATCTGGATTATCCAGGTGAGCCCTTATAACCACAAAGATCCTTAAAAGAGGAAGGCAGGAGGGTTAGAGTCAGGACCAGATGTAATGGGAGCAATTTGGAATGATCTGAGGAAACGAAAGGTGGTCTCTAGGAGCTAAAAAAGACAAGGAAACGGATTCTGCCCTGGAACCTCCAGAACCCCCTGCCAACACCTTGACTTAAGCCCAGTGAGACTGCTTTGGAAACTTCTGCTCTCCAGAACTGTAAGAGAATAAATTTGTATTGTTTTAAGTGACAAAGTCAGGAGTAATTTGTTATAGCAGCCACAGGAAACTGATACAGATGGTTTGAAGGCACAGAATTGGGCACATGGGCTCAGGGGTACTCTGCAGTCCAGCTCCCATGCCCGGCCCAGGAGGGGTTGGGAATTAGAAGCCTAAGCAGATATGGCCCTGCCTGGCATGTTCTCAAGCGTCCCCTCTAGCCCCATTGAATAAAGGAAGCTCCAGCAATTTCCTTTGTCCTTGATGGCCCTGTTACCATGCAGGACCTCTGAGCTCTGGGACTTCAGAAAAGGAAGGCAGGGACCATGGCCAGCCCCTGCAGCCCTAAATCCAGAGCCCAACCCCTACCCCATTTGGGCCTGGCAGGCTTCGCAAGCCTGCAGCCATGCCTTTAGCCAAAACCAAAGGCCTGTGAGGAGCCCAGCCAGAGGCTGGTAAGAGGTGCCTGGGTTCAGGCCCTTGCTGTCCTTTCTACTAAGAACAAGCGCTGTCTGGTACCGCTCTGGGTACTGGCTTCACCCAAACTGGCCCCATGCTATACTTTTCCCTTTGGACTCAGCCGGATGCTAACATGGGCCCATCTTTTCTTCATACCTGGAGAGGGACTTCTAGGGGAAGGGCCCTGTCTTCTTAAACCTTTAGTGTTGAGAGAACTTGCCCAGAGTTACTGGTGCTTGGTCCCTTCACGCCATCTCAGTGGTATTTCTCAACTTTGGCCACTCATTGGAATCAACTGGGGTGGGGAAGGGGGGTGAGCTTTAAAAAAAATACTGGGCCTGAGTCCTACCCCCAGAGAGTCTGATGTGATCTGTTTGGGAGCGGACAGCACCAAGAATTTTAAAGTCTCCCCAAGGGATTCTAAAATGCAGCTTAGAACCACTGATTCCGAACTTGTAGATTTCAAACTGTGTTTTCAAGAAAATAGGGCTTTCAAAGCAGTCCTAGGATGGGGGACCTGAGTCCTGGCAGCTCTGTGCTGCTTCGAGGTAGGTGGCAGCAAGCAGGTGAGAGATGACGCTGGAGGCAGGGCCAGTCACCTAAGCAGCCTGTGGCCCTCAGCCTCTGAGGCTGGAAGGTGTCACCTGCAGGTCCAGAAGGCAGTGGGTGGGGTGGGGGGTAAGGAAGGAGGGGCGGAGAAGGGGGAGGAAGACAGGCTGTCCCCATCAGCGCTGTGACATTTGACATGCTCTGATTTAATGGAGAGGGAATTTCACATGGAAACAGCAGAAGACATTTGCTGCCAAGAAGAGCCAATCCCTTTGGTTGAAGCCAAATTCAGAGGGCAGTTGGGGTGGGGGTGGAGGGGAAAGGAACAGAGAGAAGCCAGGGCAGGGACCTTGAGAAGCCAGTGTCACAGCATCCAGTGAGGAGGGAGTAGGGGTCCTGCAGGGAAGGCCTCTCGGGACTTAGGATACAGGCAGAAGTCTCTTCATCCACTCTAGACTTTTCTGAGCGCTTTGGACGTGTCATTTGGTGTTCGTAAGAGCCCTGGCCGCCAGGTGTTAATATCTCAATCTCAGCCCTCAAGCTGAAGTTCGACCCAGGTCTGCCAGTCTCTCCATCTAGGAAAAGACAGAGGAGACCCTGCTCTTCAAATAGTGTCTCAAGTTTAAGCTCGTGGGGAAAAAGAGCCATCCAGAATCCCTCTGGTCTCTTTGGGAAAGCCCCCCCCTAACCGTATAAAATACTATAAAAATATTAGAATATGCCAAAGAGGAGAAGTAAAACATTCTCTCCTCACCACCTAGATCTTGCCAGCACCTCAGCTAATACCTAGGGCAGGGTCTCTGACACAGCACCCGAATCACAGAGGAGGGGGGGCTGTATTATAACCAGATGGCAAGACTAGTATAGTAAGGAAGACAGGGCTGAGGTGCCCACACCCACACTCAGCTCCAGAAAGACATCATGGGAGCCAAAGGCGCGCTAGGAAATGGACCCAAAACACCAGGGTGTCTAGACGGCCCTGCAGGATGTTCTCCAGCAGCCTCGCCTCCAGGTGAAGTCTCTGCAGGCAGGCAGACCCTCCCTTCTTATTCTGCGTGGGTCTTCATTCTCTCCTGGTTCACCGGGGAGCTGCCCTCCACCCACTTACACACCCACACAGCTGTGCCCCTGCAGCCTTGTCACAGCCGAAGGGCCCAGGGGTGGACCCCTGGCTCAAGCGGGGCAGCTGGATTCTGTCTCCTGGGAACTGGATACTGGAACCAAAAGGGGCTGATTGCATCCTTTTAGGGCGTTGGCTCAGGAAATGACGCGAGG